GAAAACACCTTTGCCTTGTCTCCTTAAAAATTAGAACCCTTCTTGGACAGATGCCCCAGCACGAACTCTCTCTACTCGTCTCGAACTCTAGTCCTAGTTTCCAGGAACTGCTAACGGTTGCCTGGACTCCTGCAATGTAAATTAATCATTCAGGGTTCCTTTTCAGTGCTGAGGTCGTTGCACACTTCGCGTGTCGTGCGTCCTTTGCGACAAGGAGGCAGACGCACGACGGCATACGCATGTCTGCACACGAGTCCACTTACATTCAAGGGTTTTTACGAAACGCAGGGCTTGCGTTTGGAATTGGGGTGAGTTCGATTGAAAACGCAAGCCTTTTGCGTTTCCTGAAGTTAGGGGACGAGCGTGCCGACATGCGTTTGCACGCGTGGATCTACCGACTTCCCCAAGCAATGTCGCAAAGGACGCATGACGTGCGAAACGTGAACCAAGCGTTAGTGTCGGTGCTAACGTCCGTGTTAGCGTTAGTGTCGGTGCTAACGTCCGTGTTGGTGCCAGCATCGAAGCTGGTGTTACCAGAAGCCTCTCGACACTAACATCGGGAGATAACAGCAACACCGAACGCCAACACCTGATTTGAACTCCCTCACAGTTAAGCCGCGTGCTGTCAGAGATCTCAGGTGTTAAACGCCTGCACTCAACGGTTTCGCTTGCCCAAGGTGCTCATGAACGTCAAAAGAGACTAAAAAGATCATGCTCAGCAATCAAGAGGGATCCTCATTTCTTAAACGTGGGATTATTGGCAGACGCATAAGACATCAAACTTTCCTTGTTTTCGCAACTGTTGCTCGCGGGCTGTTAAGGGCAAGAGAATAACCAGAAATTTTCAGTGTGTGCTTCACCAATCTATGTAGTAGTGTGAAAACCAATTATCAATGACTTTCCCTTTCTTAACCCCCCCCCCCCCCCCGCTTCCCTACAGGACTCACTAACATTAGGCCTAGGCCTAGTCAACAGACTGCCTTTAGGTAAAGCCAAGGCCTAACATTTTCTTATCAAAAGAATTCAATTCTCCACATACAGCGCCAAATAGGCCTATGAGGGTGAATGGAGATCTTCGAGACATCTGATTGAGGACGTGTAACGTTAGGCCAATCGCAGACCAACGTTCACGAACCATTTCAGAGTGGACGTGTAACGTTAGGCCTCTCTGGAGTAACTCGAACCTTCTCGAATCGGTCTGAGTTTTGAATGCCCTCAAGCAGCATGGAATCCATGGTACGCGCCATTCTGCTAATTCAGGGATGTCCGGATTACATATCTGCATATCCCACCACATCGAGCAATAATTGCTAACTACCGCTTCGTTCTCAGCTCAACTCAAGGAATCAGCGCAAAAATATATCATACATACATCAATAGAAGATACGCCAATACGAAGGTTGAAACAGTCTTGAATCTGGCATAATTTCGGCACGGTATCCGGCAGCATCGGGGGACGGTACGAACAAGCACTCTAAGCCTAATTGAACGACAGCTATTTTCATTTTCATGGGGAAATGGAGCATTGCAAACAACAAAAAAGCCACTTTTCGTCATCTACGAGTTAATATCTTTCTCATGGTTGGTCTCTATCCACTGAAAACTACCCAGGGGGGGAGAGAAAAATAGAAAAAACGGATTTAAATTCACTTTCGGAATTCGGAATCGAAAACACACAAAAACGAAATTCTGTGTTTTCCACAACCCCGGGGAGATGGAGCTTCGAATTTTGCTGGAGCGATTCTGTGGTGAGAGAGAAAAAAGTATGCACAGTTTCCTACCTGTTGATGCTCTCTGAAAGGAATATGAGAGGTTGAATTTTGCTGCGGAAAGGGGTTCAAGAAAAGTAATAAGCGCTAAAAAAAAAAAGCCTATTGACGCCAAATGTATCATGGAAGTCGGTGGTGTGTCACCCAAGCACTCGACGGTTGAAGCACACGTGAAATATGAAACTTTTCTGTCGACTTCTCGAAGTTGGGTGGGCTAATTGCGACTAGCAAATTTAGCAAATGTCATCTGATGCAACAAGTCTATCTCTCTAAGTAGACGCCATTCAGAAAAAGAACATTACTCGATAATAATAAAAAATATGTATCAGCATATTGGAGTTTGTCCCTTATTCATCCCTGGGAGCAAAATACACCAAGAAAACACGGCCTCAAATACAGGCTATAATATGAAGTAGAACCATGGCATCCTCACATTACGTCGGGCAGAGGACATCCCCCTCCCCCAGCGCGAACGTCGTGCACCAGACATCAGGCGTATTGCAGGAGCAGGAGGCCGTGTGCTCGCTCGGTCCGTCGACGAAACCCTTCTGGCACGTGAAGACGACCTTCGCGCCTTGCGGGGCTGGGTACTCGCCCTTCCAATCCTCGAAGGACTCCTTCGCGTTCTTCATCTTCGGGTAGTCCGTCAGGCACAGGACTGGATTCGTTGCAAGGGCACAAGAAACTCCAGGATCATTGGCCTTCGATACAGGCAGCAAAATTAACATTGACCCAGTCTTGACATTTTACTAATGACACTTGGGGCGCACGGATGGCATCCGCTTTTTAATTGCCAGGCAAAAGAAGAGATTCCGGTTGGCATCAGAACAGGTGTGACATTCCCACATTATGGGGATTTATTATTATTATTCCCCCATTATCACATTATTATTCCCCATCCACAGTTTTATTGTCGGACTTACGGGTAGCTCACAAGAGAGTCTGAGTCCGAGGCAAGAATGAGTAATTTTCGATATTTCCTTTACCCGTATGAACTTAAATGGTCCAACAGTTGGAAGTTGGAAAAAGGGAGGATAGCTGAATTAAGGGTTTTAAAGATATTGCCACCGCAGTCTCATCTAGAAGACGTTCTTTTGGATACTGATGCTTCAAAAGTCGCAACTTAAAGAGGATCGCATGAGTCAAAGAGCGGTGGCTTTGCCTAACAAAAGAGCATTTTTTTATTATACGAAAAGGAAAGGAAACTCTTCACCCATAACCCGAAATGTTGCCCTTTCTTACGACGTATGATCGTGCTTTCCTAATTTCTTAGTAAATATCAGGAATAAACTTTTTCCTTCTAATCGAGAAGGCTTCGTTAGAACCATAACGTAAAAGGAAACAAGGATTTTGGGTCCAGGTCATTATGCGACCTGATCCCACGGCTTGATCCCACTCACACTGAACGAACGCCTGGAACCCTTCCGCAAGGACGAGCTGGCTGCTCCCCCCGTACAACAGTTGGCAGGTGCCATCCGACTCCCTGTAGTTGAAGGCGAGGCACGGCTGGGACGGGTTTTCCATCTTGCATTCGTTGGTGCATCCCACTATATGCGCCGCAGAGACCTCCTGCGACGCGTTCGCATATCGTTCTCCCGGGTGCACGGCCCAATACACTACGGGTTCGAGTGCTGATGCGATCCAAAGGAGGCAGGAGAACCCTGTCAGCGTCAGTGGATAGCCCGTCATCCTATCGCCACGAGGAAGTTTATAAAAGAAATTACATTCAGAATATGGTGGATAGAGAGCCCAGGTGTTCATAAAGTGGTGCTAAAATCCCTGAGACTCGAATGATCTGCATAAAAAATTAGAATAAATTGGGAAATATTCAGGGAATAATCTCCAGGGGAAAAGCAACCATTTAAAGTGTGATTTTTTTTTATTATCTCCAGATTATTCTAATTTGTTTACTTCTTCAGCAACTTTGAAGTCATTTTGGAATATTTTTTTACTTCTTAAAAAAAAGCATTCTATGGACATTTCAAGAACAGATCAAGACACTTCTGCAATTTCGACGAGCCATGATTTTTTTGGATTAAATTTCCAAGGTCAACGACAAAACTCATTTAAGAAAGTCACAACTGCCTAACTAGCGTCGACCTGTGCTAACTGCTTCAACCCGATTCGTACGGAAGGAGATGGAGCAAGGACTGTTTCAAGACTCACCTCATGATCCGATTCTTCCGAGCAAGTCTTCTTTCCTTCTTGTCCTCGCCTGAACTCGAATGAATCACGAGAAAAAAATCCATGAGTTCAGGCTGAGACCTTGCCGAACATCATTTACGCTACTAGGTTGTGCCTCGCCGATGCGAATCCTCCGCACAAGTGCATTCCGTTGCATTCGACCCACCGCGAAAGGAGTTAATATCAGATGGGTACCGAGACCACGAGCCGTGGAAATGCATGGGAATGTGAGAGTGTAGGATAAGCCCGTTTCTACATCAGCTCGGAAGAATAGCATGAAAGGTCATGACTGAAAGGAAAGTGCGGCTCTTTTCACGCTGTTAGAATTACTTAGTCTCCGAGGTTTTATGACCGAAATGCAAGGCCTATTTCTGTTTAGTGATTCATCTGCTCCAATTTTTAAAGCATGAACATAGACATTTCGACGAAGGAGCTCGAAACGTAATGGAAATGAGAAGAGAGACACTTTCCAATCCCATAGCGAATTTGAAAAGGTAACATTGAGATGGGAGAGAAAATTGACACTGAGCTTCACTCGAGTAAAAAGGTCGCGACTGAGGAGGCCTTCGGTTCCCTGGGGAAAACGCCTCCGTCCAGTCCACATCCACCCAATCCGCATCCGCCACGGCGACAGGTCGATGGATGAACGACTGAAACAGTGGATCGATTCTGTTGTGGAACGAGTGTGAAAATGGGCTTACTCCGATGTTTCCTTTCGCGTGCAGGCCAATATGAGAGAGGCCGTGCCAATATGAGAGAGGCCGTGCCAATATGAGGGAGGCCGTGCCAATATGAGGGAGTGAGGGTCCACGTTGCCAGGGAACCCTGAGTAAACCGAGAGGCTCGACGCAAATGGACGGGAATCGCTTTCTGTAATTTCACTAGCGAAATTGCACAGTCTCTGCAGGCAGACTAGGGGATAGTAAGACAACTCCAAGGCGGATGATGAGAACTCGACCCGCAGTCACGCCAGCACCGACCATTCGAGTCGGAAAGAAAATCCAACCACGTGTTGACAAACAGGTCGACAAATAATCGAGACCGTCACAGCCACAGTAAGTGAGCTAGGAGACTTAAGTTAATACCGGAAAAAGACTATCTCCCTCCCGTTCAATTAAATCAACCCGAAGGAGAAGACGAGGCCGAAGCCACTTTAAAACGTCAACACGACTCGATGAAGCATAACGAATTTTCAGTCGCTTCTGTGACGTAACAAGCGATCAATATTAATTGGTTACCTGTCCCGTTCCAGATTCGAGAGTTAAGGCAGGTTCGCCAGACAGAAATTCTGGAGAAATGGAAACCCTCGTGATCTTTCCAAGTAAATTACTTAACTTTATTAAAATAAATACACTAATGAAATATCAAACTACTGTGACTACGACTACTGTGACTACGACTACTGTGACTACGACTACTGTGACTACGACTACTGTGACTACGACTACTGTGACTACGACTACTGTGACTACGACTACTATGACTGTGAAAAAGGAATGACTGTAAGAAACTCGACAGCTAGATGATTAGATAAGGCTGCATGATGTTCATAGATGACGAAATGCGCATCATGCACGCACTAGTCGCCCCCGGAACCAATCCGCGTCCGGCGCCTGTCGGCGCGACAGGAAACGAGCCAGCCTCGTTTCCTGTCGCGTGCTTCCTGGTCCTGCAACCGAAGCGGGGCGCTGATGAGGGCTCATTCGGCATCGATGGCTCGCCCGTCTTGGTCTCTGTCGCTCCTAATGCCGAAACCGACGTTGCCGCAGTTGCCACAGGAGTGGGGATTTCCTGACGGCGCTGACACGAATTATTTGCCAAGAGAATTTTCTCGCCGAATGGCATACACCGTTTCAATAATTAATTCCTATCCAAATCCATTTGGATGAAATTAATCTCTTCCCCTCTAATATTATTCCAGGTTCATGGAGCAGAGGAAGGAAAACGTATTCCAAAAAAAAATTTTTTATACAGGTGTATTATTAAACTCCTGGTTGAAGCACGCTTCTCCAGATATTTTCCTAAGTTGCTTAACAGCTTGCAATAAAAGAAATGCTTATCTCGCTGGAGACGAAAAGAAGGGAATCTCGTGCCGAGGCTTCAAATGATCGCGTCGATTTCGCGATCTCCAATCTTTGAGCAAATGAATGATTGCTGGTTACGTATCAAAATCGATTCAGCAGAGCAAAAAGAAGTGATAATGATACTAATAATGATAATGATAATGATAATGATGTACACTTCTCAAAGTAATTTATGCAGCGTGTTGGTACAAAAAAAAAACATCCTTGCGTGATTCTATTATTAATCATCCTTGGATGAATTTTTTTGCGTTCTCCAGAATTTCTGAACGAGGGGGCGACGAGCCCTTTAAAGCCGGATTTAACAGGAACGGCGTCCCCAAGGCCATCCAAGGCTCGTTCGCTCCTCCCTCGCGATTTCCCGCCAGTTTTCCGTCTGAGAATGCGAGAGGAAAATCCGGCGATGTGCAAAAGGATTCATCGCCCAAGTATTGGGAAGGGCTGACGGCAATCCGAATAAGAAGGAAAAAAAAAGACGATTCTTGACGAAGCTCTTCTTCCTTCTCCTCCTGCTACTTTTCTCCTCTTGCTCCTCTTCTCCTGGAAGGGCAAAATAATGGTAAATGCGGAAAAGAATGCGGCATCTCATGTCTACCGAGGCAGTCGCACTCTTCAGTTACCTGGAAAGTCGCACGACTCAGTTACCCAACCTGGAAAGAATGCGACAGTCGGGATGCGCATTTGCAGCAGATGAGGAAAGAAGTTCATGCGCTGACCCTCACAGTTCAGGAAATCCCACTCACCTGGGCCACGATACCCAGGCGCACCCGCCACTGACGTGAAGACGGTGCAATGAAATAAAATGAGGCACCGTCCGTTTTTACCCTTTCCATCCAAAACAAGAATTTACTGTTCAAGAGATAGCATTTTTTCGAACGAAATTCAAGCAGTGATTAAAATAATAAAATATGAAAACATAACCTGCTCTAAAAGTAATGGAATAATTAACTACAACGCCAATTAGACATTGCCCTCACGCACAAGAAACAAAATAAGGTGAACTCTGGACATTCTCACGTTAACTTTCGCATTCGACGTCCAGCTGAAACGTGGCGCACCAGACATCCGGCAGGAACAGTCGCCCGCGTGCTCCGAAATTCCGTCCGTGAATTTGGAAGGGAAGTTGGAAGGGCAAGTGAAGACGACCATCCCCCCTCCCGGGGCTGGGTATTCCCCGTCCCAGCCGTCGAAGGTCTCCACCGCCATCGCGATTTTCGGGTACTCCGTCAGGCACGAGACTAGATTCGTTGCGGGGGTGGAAGAGAGCTTCGCAGCTTTGGCGTGGTAATATGTGTGTTTTATTTTGAAGACGTGCGACCAGGTTCCCTCAAGGCCTGCTTCAGGAAATTTTTGTAATTGTAATTGTAATTGTAATTGTAATTGTAATTTTTGTACTTTCTTCATATTCATGGCGTTCGTATTTAAACGCAAAGTAGTGCAGTATATATCTTGCCGCCTGTAAGTGGAATTCGGCTAGTGATACAATTCTAAATGGTTTACTTATGTCCGCCTCAGATGTCTAAATTCACTCTCTTATCTTGCTTTGAGACATTTATGTTGCTGTCTTCGACTGCTACGTTGAAGAGACCCTCATTCAAATTTCATGAAGTTGGAAATACGAATACGTCCGAGACATGATGAATGCAGCTCATCTTTGCATGCATGGCAATTTTGCTTTGGTTTGTACATATATTCTTTTGGTACATATATTGTTTTGGTCATAGGTTGATTGACGGAGTGAAACCGGAAAGAAAAGATTTGCGAAGAAGATACGTCAGGTTGGTTTTTTTCTTTTTCCTTTCTGAAGTGAGTCAGTGAAACATGTTTCACGTATGCTGAAGGATTTGATAACTTGTGATGTATGAAAACCATGCAGTCTCAACAGCCGAAAATTTCCGAGTTGAAACGGTCAGCACTTTCCTACCGTTGCGAGGGAATTCTTCCGACTGTGAAAAAATACTTTACTTTGGTAACGGAAGTCCACTTGGAAGTTGCTGTCACGTATTGGAAGTTGGAGAAAAAAAAGGGGGACATCGAAATAGGAAGCTTCTGGTGAACCAATGCCAAAGGCATCCGAGAGCTTCAATCAAGGAAAGAGGTTCAATCCGAAAGGTTCAATCCGAGAGGTTCAATCAGATTCGCCCTTAAGAGCATTTAAAAGACCTATGAACCTGAAAGACGTGTTCGTTCCCTCATCGCTAAAATTCATCGTGTATGTGTATTAGGTCGTGCACAAGGGAGGACGGTATGGCAACGTGTCGCGGGAGGAGCAGCTCTTCGAATTCCCGGAAGGCCACGCGGAATGCAAGAAGCAGGACGGGCAGTGCCACGGCTTCAACTACAGGGAATCGGATGGCACATGCGAGCTGTTGAACACGGGGTGGAACTCGCTCGTCTCCGCGAACGGATTCCTGTCATTCGCCCGATGTGAGTGGCACTGGGATCGATTGGAAGATTGCGTTATTTCGAACGTATGAGACCGGGAGACGAGCCATTGGATTTTAATGCCTTGTAGAGACACAAATCGGGTGAGGTAATTTCTATGCATGGTGTTCCTAATGAAAGGCAACATTGGTAAAAATTTATTCGCTTATTTTTGAAGTTCTGCGAATGCCTTATAGCCCACCGGGTTGCCTTTCTTTCAATATGGAAAGAAACACCTGTTCGTTTCCTTATAGGTATGCAACACAGAGGCCTTGTAGCACTAGCCGAATTCCACATACAGGCGGCAAGATATATACTGCACTACTTTGCGTTTAAATACGAACACCATGAATATGAAGAAAGTTACAAAAATTTAAATTACAATTACAATTACAAAAATTTCCTGAAGTAGGCCTTGAGGGAACCCGGTCGCACGTCTTCAAAATAAAACACACATATTACCACGCCAAAGCTGCGAAGCTCTCTTCCACCCCCGAAACGAATCTAGTCTCGTGCCTGATGGAGTACCCGAAGATCGCGAAGGCGGTGGAGACCTTCGACGGCTGGGACGGGGAATACCCAGCCCCGGAAGGGGGGATGGTCGTCTTCACTTGCCCTTCCAACTTCCCTTCCAACTTCCCTTCCAACTTCCCTTCCAACTTCCCTTCCAACTTCCCTTCCAACTTCCCTTCAAACTTCCCTTCCAACTTCCCTTCCAACTTCACGGACGGAATTTCGGAGCACGCGGCCAACTGTTCCTGTGTGGAGCCGGATGTCTGGTGCACCACGTTCAAGTTGGACGTCCAATGCAAGCCTGAGTGTGAGAATGATTCATATATACATTATATACATTATATTGTGTCCTTAGCATGGAAATCGCCGACGGCAATGGCCTCTTGTCACTCATGAGAGTCAGACATTTTCTTTTCATATTTTAATCACCCGTGATTTTTAAAGAAGCACATGTGTTGAGGGATAAAAAGAAACGGCTCGAGGAGTGTCAGTATGAATTCATAAGGAAGAGATGCAGAAGTTTGAACCATAAAGAGTGTGGGGCATCAGTGATAAGTCTTAAAGAAAAAGAAAGGAAAACGTCGAATCTTCTGATGTGAAGTCCACATTGCGAGGCCCGAATAATGTCGTACATAGTGGCGAAGTTATGGTTAAACGAGTCCTACTAAACTGCGAGCATTTCGTCGTCGGACGCGTGTCTCATGAAGGAAAGGATATTTCGTATTTCATTGCGAGGCAGGAGGTTCATATTCATTTCTGAAGAGTGTGACGGCTTCTTTAATTAAATTACAGGTGTTCAAGCAGCGTTTTACCATTAAAACCCCAGGCAGAGAACTTCTCGAGATTTTTTACCCATTCCGTTAGACACGAAATGCTTGCGTCTTTCCTCCAACAACTTTTGTTTTGCCTTCCAGAAGAAGAGGAGCAAGAGGAGCAGGAGGAGAAAGAAATGGAGTAGGAAGAACGACCGCCTCCTTTATTTTTCATCCATCAGAGTAATTCCATCCAGGGTGATTATCTCTTTTTTCCGGTGCTGAGTTTCCTACCCGTGTATTTTTTTCGGGGGGTTGCACCAAAGTGGGTTCATCTTTCGATTTCTGTCAAATTTTGTAAAATGGCGGTAAATGGCGGAAGCAGAGTGTTGTTCCTGACGCTAATGGAAAATATATTGATTGCGGGATTGCATTTCTCGAGATTATTTGTGGAAGCTCAGTCGGATTTCCACAACGCAAAGTCCTGAATTTCCACCGAGGAAACTGTGAGAAAATAACGAATGAGGTTCATCAGTGGGAGTGGACGAGATGGGCGTTGTCGGGAGAATGCAGTTTTCGCAATGACGAACCCACACACCGTTTTGGTGTCAAATTTCTCCCGACGTCGAGAATGGATCTCCAACCCGGAATGGGTTTTACTCTCGGATGAAATCCGAGGTTGATGGATTTCACCTGAATCTCTGACTTTACCTTTTCATTTTTCTCTATTATCAACATTTTCCCCAGCCTTTTAAACAGGCTCCCAATATGAAGCAGAGGAGAAATTCTATTTTAGCAAATATATTCTCATGCTTTGCTGAAATTTAAACCAGTTTTTAACTCCTCTGGAGGTCGTCACTCAGTCACTGGTATTAATATATTGAGGTATTCCTTGATGTTTCTCGCTGGGGGGACGGCTACCCTGCAATGATTTTCGGGCCGATCTCGATGAGAACCAACGGGAGGAAGATGATCCGTTTTCAGCTTTGCCCCAGGTTCCTTTGCACGGATTGGATGCAAAGGCTCCTGGGTGGAGGAAGCGCGTTGACGTAAAAGCGATCGAGACGGGATCGTGGATGATGGCGCTGCAAGCCCGTGTATGTGAAGGACCGTTCCCGGCCGTGGAACTCTCGCCAAGCGTCTGTCAAGAAGAAGGTTCGGACAAGGCCTTGCAATCGTTCCTGAATAGCAGATCTGTATTCGCGAGAATTATCCCGGTCGAGAGCGGGTTCCAAGGTACAATTAAAATCACCTCCTATGACGATGAGGGAATTAATTGGACAGAGAGAGAGATCACTCTCCAGTGTAGTCATGAGTTGAATACCTAGCTCATCGGATTGAGGCATGTATACATTGTATGTAATAAGACGAAAATCGTCCCAAAGGAAATCAACACGTAGTAAGTGTCCTTTTAAAATTTCTTTTTGAGAAGAGAAAGAAAGGGAAGAAGATTTCTGAAAACCCGTGAGAACTCCTGTTCCATTAGAAGAACTAGAACTAGTATACGAATCGATTCCCCATTCGTCGAGGAGAAACCGACCTGAAGAACGCAAATTCGTTTCTTGCAGAAAAATTAATGGGAAAGCAAAATGATTGAGGAAAGTAAAGATTTTGAAAAGCTTCGCAGTCAAGGAAATGCCACGGGTATTCCAACTGCAAATTTCCATAATTATTTTTGGGAGTCAAACTCTGACAAAGGCTTCCTCAGTTTCTTTTGGAGTCTGAAGAGCCACTTGGAGAACATTTTTTTTGAGGAGGCAACTCGGAGGACATCAATCATGGAACATATGCCCGATAGATCACTGCTGTACTGCAGAGCGAGAGGAACGACCGATTTCTTAGCATGTTTAGCTTCCTCAAGAAAACTGAGAAAATCCTGTACATTAAGTGGGGACCGATAGATCACTGCTGTACTGCAGAGCGAGAGGAACAACCGATTTCTTAGAATGTTTAGCTTCCTCAAGAAAACTGAGAAAATCCTGTACATTAAGTGGGGTAGAAGATGGATCCAGAGAGGAAAGAGCTTCAAGTTCAGCAGGTTCAAGTGTGGAAGGGGAGAGAGCCGCGGTTTGGAGATCAACGTCTACGTCGGGGAGAGCAGTATCCTTGAGTTTTTTCTTTCCCAAGGAAACAGGGGATGAGTCAGATGACGTTCGCTTGGTGGACGGGAGTTGCGTGGAACCAGAAGGGATTGAGGGCCATTGGGAAGAGAGGAACAAAACCGATGGAGGATCGCTCGAATCTAGCAAGGACGACGCGTTTGTATCGGGACTTGCTGAGGGGTCGACTTCGACGGGACCTGAAGTGTCCATCGTGTTCGCATCCTGAGAGGGAATGGGTTCTTTATCATTTATACACGATTGAACATCTGACGCTCCTCAGATCGCCTTGATTCATCGTTTTTTGCTCTCCTAGTGTGGCACTCACTCTGGAAACGCTTCTTGCAAGTCTTACAGTTCGACGTGAACATTCGCGGAAATTCATAATATTTCAGAAATTTAGCGACACTGCTCAGATTACCGTGCTTTATCGTTTTTCGCTCTGCTGTATGGCACTCACTCTGGAAACGCTTCTTGCCAGTCTGACAGTTCGATCTAAACATTCCACACAATTACTCCTCATATCATTTCCAGAATGTCAACATGAACCACAACCAAAGAAACCACATTATCTCCTTAGAGCAGGATTCATCAGATGATCACTCTGTTCCACTAGTTCGAGCTCCTCACATTCATATTCTCTAAACATCAGTCACTTTGAACTGCAAAACTAAGAAAACAGGGTTAGTTAATAATAACATCCTGAAATCCAGAGATTTATATTCAGATGAGGGAATATTGAATGTGATACACAATATAGTAAAGTGTACACCTGATAGACTTCTACTATGAGCATATTGAGGATCTGTCAAGAAAATCCAGTGAGTCTTTCTGGATTACTTAAATAGATAATGGAGAGCTGCAAGGATCACTTTTAGCTTCACTTTGCCCATTCAGCTCTTCAGATTATAACTTTTGCACCTCAGTATCAAGAGCAAAAACTGAAATAATCTAATGCTGGATGAGTCAGCCAATAATTCCTATATACTGGACTATCCATAAGTAAGTGCTAGTTCCTTTCTCTTGAAAAATTGCATTGAAAATATAACAGGCAAATCATGCAAAAATTCAAATATGCTGGTCTACCCTTGATGTCTATACTGTACATGTACTGTGGGGACTTGGCCCTAAAGTGGACAGTTTCCCAAGGATTTCGCCTCCTTCAGCACAGAGTAGGCTAGTGCAACGAAATGGAGAGAGAGTTAGGGACATAGTATATAGACCGGCATCACGGAAGTTGGAGCCTCCGCCAGGAGCGCAGAGGCCATTACGGCATACATCACTGCCATCTCCGTTTCCACCTAAAATCCACATCGACTGGACGTATCCATGCCACACTTTTACCCCTCCCATCTGCCTTTCCACAGACCAACTCGGAAATTTTCGACTGTTGAGACTGCATGGTTTTCATACATCACAAGTTATCAAATCCTTCAGCATACGTGAAACATGTTTCACTGACTCACTTCAGAAAGGAAAAAAAAAACCAACCTGACGTTTCTTCTTCGCAAAGCTTTTCTTTCCGGTTTCACTCCGTCAATCAACCTATGACCAAAACAATATATGTACCAAAAGAATATATGTACAAACCAAAGTAAAATTACCATGCACACAACAATGAGCTGCATTCATTATGTCTCGGACGTATTCGTATTTCTAACTTCATGAAATTTGAATGGGGGTCTCTTCAACGCAGCAGTCAAAGACAGCAACATAAATGTCGCAAAGCAAGAGAAGAGAGTGAATTTTGACATCTGAAGTGGACATAAGTAAACCATTTAGAATCATCACATGCAACTGCGACGACACCGTGCATCACTCGAGTAAAAGGGTCGCGACTGGGGTGGCCTTCGGTTCCGCGGGTGGGCGCCCTTGTCCGATCCGCACACATCCAATCCGGTCCGCCACGGCCACGGGTCGATGGAGGACCACACTGAAGCAGCGAATCGATTCCGTTGTTTTCGAGAATCGAGAGTGAAAATTACCTCATGGTAACTCTCATCCTGTGCGGATCAGCCGGCGTTACAGGGAAACTGGATGTAAACATGAAAAAGCAATGGAATGTGAGACTGTCACGCGGCAACGATCGGATTCCGCGACATCACCAACGAAAGCAAACGTCACGATTTCCGCAATCGGAAGAATAGATTCTCGCTTCAATCAATCAAACAATCTTAGTAGTGACCAAAAGACCAAATTGAAACAGCCGACCAGAGGCGACGGTTTGATGTGAAAGGAGGTATTTAAGTACTGTAATATGGCAAATTTGTACTTCTTCTGTATGGTTTCGAATCTGCTTTCATTCCTCATTTGTATAAGCTACCATTCTTTGAGACAAACAATGCCATTCAACATCTTAGCATTTGTTTCACTCGGAAATACGGCAGGAGACGAAACCGGTCGGGAATAACGCTGCATCGCCGATAGGGCGCTGATACCGCCGGTCCCAGCAACAATTTCCTTCCTTTTTTGTCCGCCTCCTCCACCCAGGAGCCTTTGCATCCAATCCGTGCAAAGGAACCTGGGGCAAAGCTGGAAACGGATCTTCTTCCTCCCGTTGGTTCTCATCGAGATCGGCCCGAAAATCATTGCAGGGTAGCCGTCCTCCCAGCGGGAAACATCAACGAATACCTCAAAATATTAATATCAATATCAAATAATAATACAAAATATTAATACCAGTGACTGAATGACGACCTCCAAGGAAATAAAAACTGGTTTAAATTTCAGCAAAGCAAGAGAATATATTTTCCAAAATAGAATTTCTCCTCTGATACCTATTGGCAGCCTGTTTAAAAGGCTGGGGAAAAGGTTGATAATAGAAAAAAATGAAAAGATAAAGCGGGTGATTCAGGTGAAATCCATCAACCCCGGATTTCATCCGGGAGTAAAACCCATTCCGGGTTGGAGATCCATTCTCGACGTCGGGAGAAATTCGACACAAATACCGTGTGTTGGTTCGTCATTGCGAAAACTGCATTCTCCCGACAACGCCCATCTCGTCCGCTCCCACGGATGAACCTCGTTCGTCATTTCCTTACAGTTTCCTCGGTGGGAATTCAGGACTTTGCGCTGTGGAAGTCCGACTGAACCACAAATCATCTCGAGACATGCAATCCCGCAATCAATATATTTTCCATCAGCGCCAAGAAAAACACTCTGCTTCCCCCATTTACCCAATTTACCCATTTACCATGACAGAAATCGAAAGATGAACCCAATTTGGTGCAACCCCAGAAAAAAATACACGGGGAGGAAACTCAGCACCGGAAAAGTGATAATCACACTGGATGGAATTACTCTAATGGATTAAAAATAAAGGAGGCGGTCGTTCTTCCCACTCCATTTCTTTCTCCTCCGGCTCCTCTTGCTCCTCCGGCTCCTCTTGCTCCTCCGGCTCCTCTTCTTCTGGAAGGCAAAACAAACGTTGTTGGAGGAAAGACGCAAGCATTTCGTGTCTAACGGAATGGGTAAAAAAGCCTGGGGTTTTAACGGTAAAACGGTAATTTAACCTACGAAGCAGTCACACTCCTCGGAAATGAATGGGAACGTCCTGCCGAGCAACGAAATGCAAAATAATCCTTTCGTGCTCTCAGTCTAGTAGGGCTCGTTTAAACATAACTTCGCCACTATGGTCGAATTCATTCGGGACTTCGCATCAGAAGATTCAACGTTTTCGTTTCTCTTTCTTTAAGACTTATCACTGATGCCCCGCACTCTTTATGTTATGGTTCAACTTTTGCATCTCTTCCTTATGAATTCGTACTTACACTCCTCGAGCCGTTACCTTTTATCACTCTACAGATGTGCTCCGTTAAAAATCACGGGTGATTGAAATGCGAAAAGAAAATGTCTGACTCTCATGAGTGACGAGAGGCCATTACCGTCGGCGATTTCCACGTTAAGGACACAATATAATGTATATAATGTATATATGAATCATTCTCACACTCAGGCTTGCATTCGACGTCCAGCTTGAACGTGGTGCACCAGACGTCCGGCTCCACGCAGGAACAGATGGCCGCGTGCTTCTCATATCCGTCCGTGAAGCGATAAGGGCAGGTGAAGACGACCACCCCCCTTTCCGCGGCTGGGTATTTCCCGTCCCAGCCCTCGAAGGTCTCAACCGCCTTCGCGATCTTCGGGTACTCCGTCAGGCACGAGACTAGAATCGTTGCGAGGGGCGGAAGAAAGATCATACCCATGATCTTGGACTCTGGGTATCGCTGACTTCAGGAAGGATTCCCTCAAGGACTACTTCAAACCATGTTAATACATTTGTTATACGTAAATATAACCATACTTGATATGCCTCTTACCAATATATTACTAACGTTTTCCTTACCATAATGAGGCATGACGCGAAAAACTGGATAAAATCAGAAGCTGAGGCAGCACGGAAACAGAGAAGGAAACGCCACTCACATCGGGCATACGCCTTGAAGCCGTTCGCGGGAATGAGCCTGTTCCCCCCGGGGCGCAACAGCTCGCAGGTGCCGTCCGATTCCCTGTAGTTGAAGCCGTGGCATTGCCCGTCCTGCTTCTTGCATTCGGCCTTGCATTCCGGGAATTCGAAGAACTGCTCCTCCCGCGACACGTTGCCATATCGTTCTCCCTTGTGCACGTACCAATGCAAATCCACCTCGTACGCCGATGCGATCCAGTGCAGGCAGGCGAACGCGGTCAGCATCGACGGGTGGTCCATCGCTCTGTCGCAGCAAATCAATTGAAAGATTCTAACGCCTCCATTTAAAAAAAAAAGGCGAAAGTTTTTCAGGTTCGTTGGTCATTTAAATTCTATTAAGGCGGGTTCGAATGAACCTCGGCGATGGATTTAGCATTTCTTCGCCAGAAGCTTCCCAGTCGTGTTCTTCTCTATCCCAGCCCATCTCAATGTCTCCCTTTCACTTTCTCGAACTTTCAATTCCAGATGAGAACTTATATTGGACATCCGTCCAACCAGAGCAAAGTCCATGGTCATAATAATTAGAAAGAGCTGACGGTTTCAACTCGGAAAATTTTACAATCTTGCGACTACATGGTTCTAATATATCAGATACCAAATCGTTCACCATGAGTGAAACACGACTCACTTCATGAGGAACAAGAGCGAACCTGATGTTTCTTCTTCGCAAATCTGGTCTTCTTTCCGGGCTTTACCCCTTTAATATACCTTCAACCCAACAAAACAAAAAATGAAAGAATATATGTGCAAACTAAAGTTAAATTACCATGCACCTGACGTTGCGCTACGTTCATCATGTCGGACGTTTTCGTTACTTCATCAAACTAGAATTAGGATTTTTCTAAGCAGTGGTCGAACACGGAAACTTGAATGCGGTAACGCAGGAATAGAGGGAAAATTTTGATATCAGGAGTGGATGCAAGTAATTTTCTTAAAATAAATCAGGCCCAACTGCGACAACACCCTGCTTCACTCGAGTAAAAGGGTCGCGACTGAGGTGGCCCTCGGTTCCGCGGGTGGGCGCCTTTCCTGATACCAATGCATCCAATCCGGATCCGCCACGCTCACGGGTCGATGGATGACCACATCGAAGCTGTGTATTGATTCCGTTGTTTTCAGTGGATCGAGAGAGAAAGTTGGACTAATCACGTTTACTTTCCGCCTGTGTGGTTCTGCCGGGGTTACCAGGAAACGGAGAGTAAACTTCAAAAACTTCTCGAATGTGAGTATATCACTTGGCAACGATCGGATTCCGTGACGCCTCCGACGAAAGTGAACGTCACAATCTAGGCAATAGGAAGAATGGATGCTCGCTACCATCAGATGCCAATCTTATTGGTGACCAAAAGACTAAATAGGAACAGTCGACCTGAGGCGACGGATTGATGCCATAGGGAGGTATATAACTACTACTGAAATATGGGAATTTTTGGTAGGTTTTAGGTTTTAAGTTTTTTACGTTTTAGGTAGGGAAGTACCTGGTAGATTTTTCCAGTTTGACGGCAGAAAGAGAACGAGAGGTAACCAACTTTACTTGCGCAAACCACACGTGCGGCCCAAGTCGAGACAGGAATTCTTTACTTGCAGAGTGGTGAACGCGCGAATGCGTTAGATGACGAAGTAGTGGCTGCCCCGCGCTGTGACTGTCTTTAAGAAGAAACTGGATGCTTTCTTGGACAAGCAAGAAGGTGGGGGACAATGTTGAAGTTAGGTACTAGACAGTAAGCAAATAGGTTGGTCGAAAAACAAAATAAATATCAAAAATACAATAATATTTAGCTTCAAAAGGGTTAGACCTACCCTAAAATTAAGGAACGCTCGAAATCGACACGTGATGTCGAAATAGGTGAAATGGCCTCTTGATATCACTAACTATCTTGAATCTTGAGTCTTGTATTTTTAAATTCTTCGGAAACGTTTCAAATCTACTTCCAGTCCCTATTTGCATCATTGCGATTCTTTCTGAGGAGTCAACCGTGCCTTTCAAGATATCCTTACGTATTTCACACGAAAATACGAAAGAAGACGCAATCGGTCGGAAGTAAAGTAGCATCGCCGAAAAGGGCGAAGATACCGCCGGCTCCAGCAAATTTCTGTCAGCTTCCCATCCACCCAATGCCTGCGAAGGATCCTGAGGCAAAGCTGGAAACGGAATTTCTTCCTCCTGTTGGTTCTCATCGAAATCGGTCCGAAATTTGTTGTAGTGGTGCCTTTCTCCGGCGAGAGACTTCTACCAACGCCTCAGAAAATTAATACCAATGACTGAGTGATGCCCTCCAAGGAATTAAAAATTAGTTCAAATTTCAACAAAGCATAATAATATATTTTCTAAAATAGTATTTCCCTTATCATTCCCATTGTGAGTCTGTTAATAGGCTGGAAAAGGATGATAATAGAAACAATTAAAATGTCTAAAGGGGGTTGATTTGGGTTAAATCAGTAATCCTGGGATATTATCCCAGAGTAGGACCCATTCCAGATTGAAGATCCATTTTCGACGACGGGAGAAATTCGACACCAAAGCGGTGGGTGGATTCATCATTGCGAAAACTGCATGAAAACTACACTCCCGCAAACGAATCTCATTCATTATTTTCTAATAGTTTTCTCGGCGAAAATTCAGGACTTTGCGTTGTGTAAATCCAACTGAGCCTCCACAAATAATCACGAGACATATAAGCCCGCAATCAATTTATTTTCCATCAGCGTCAAGAACAACACTCTGCTTCCCCAGTTATCGCCCGAATGTAAGCAAAAAGCTTGCAGTAAACAAAAGTTGAGCCCACATTGGTGCAACCCCAGAAAGAAACGCACGGGGAGGAACCCCAGCACGGGAAAAATACAGATGACCATGGATGGGAATCCCCCGACGGATGAAGCAGGGGAAAAGTTGAACGAGGCGGGGTCCTCCTTCCCGCTCCTCTTCCTTCTTCTCCTACTCCGATTGCTTCTGGTACTGATTCTTCGCTGCAATCGGTTCAAAAAATCAGAGATTTTTTGATCAGAAAATTTTGATCAAAAAAAAAAAAGAAAGATTGAGAGAAAAAATCAGAGATTGACGGCCGTGTCAGCCGCGGGTGGCTGACGCTCAACTTCGAGTTATTTCGATCTGTTTTTGTTGATGGATGCATGCATTTTGCTTAGCAATTCGAAGGCTTAGCCTCTAGCAAAGAATAAATAACATGATATTGGCCTCTTTGGAGCATTCATGAACTATGTTCGAGGTAAAACGAACCTAACTGATCAGGCAGATAGTTTCTCAAGCATTACATTCGTGGGTTGCGTCCGATAAACTGCACTGTATATCTTTACTCTATCTTCTTCCCGGCTTGTTTATGTTCCAATTCTACATATAATTATTAATTGTTCATTTCATACGTGAATGACATAGAAATTTTGATGGACGAAATGCCGGTCTACCAGGCCATGGCACCATTGTCTCTTCGTAATTATCCCCCAGAGCATCAAGTGGAAATCGAATCTTGGCAATCCAATCAGCTTTTTCAATATTACTATCATCATGGAAATGCACCATGCAAAGAAGCAGTTCTAACCTGTTCCAAGATACAACATGATAAATCTGATAAATCTGGTCGATGATCAATTGAGCAATTGACGGCATTGTCGCAAGACCCTCTCAAGTTAATAGGCATGAGAACTTCCTGAGATCGGTCCCAGTTTTTCAATGAGATTACGGTGTAACATTTTCACACATGAGGATTTTCTCGGCCAAAGCCAATTAATATCTCTAATGATGAGATTTAGGACTTCATCATTGAGAGTTTCATAAGCTTCAAGTGGACTGACTACATCATCATCAACAATCAACCCCACCCCCCCCCCTCCCCCTCCCAGCAGCACATAACTTTGAATCAACAGGGAAGAAGTATTGAATCAACACCCGGACGTTGAGTTAACATTCAATCAATGTTGATTCAATATGTTGTGCTACTGGGGCTACAGGCGATTGTGAAAGAGAGAACTTTCTGGCGACCTTGAAATATAGCTCACATGGTGATTGTCCCACCATGATCCCTTGCTTCTAGATCTGCTATCAGAATCATCAATTTCTGAAGACACCACTTCCACGAAGGATATAAGCAAGGAACGTGTTATGTCCAATAGAAATAGACAAAATGGGTGGGTCCATGGCCACGTCACCTACAGGTGGCTTACAGGGGTACAACTGAGATATTATGTAGTCGGACGATATCAATCCGTTATGCCTGGCATCATTTCGTCTCAAAGGGTCCCACGATGCCCTGAAACGGAAAAATTTGAAAAAGGTCCACAAGTTGCAGAAACATCGCTCTGGCCTGCTGGGAGCACTTCCCTTAGAAGGGCTTCGCAGTCGATGCGTTAAGCGCAGGAAATTATATGAAGACGCGATATGACTCAAGCGAACATGCGGCCTCAGACCTTGAAAGGCCTTGAGAGACCTTGAAAGACCTTGAAAGCCGTTGCCCCTTCTGGTCCAACTCGATGACGGCTCCGAATTTTTTTAGCACGTGGTAGTCGCCATATGCCGGAATTAACTCAACGAGGTTTCACATCATCGATCGTCGACGGTATTTTATCTATAAAAAAAAACTATATACGCCCCCCTTCCATCCCCCCAAGGTCCATACTGGGCTGTTGTGCTGGGCCTGTTCGAATTCTATTGATTTTATATTTAGATGATACGACATCATTCTTTTTTTTTCCGCTGAGTTTTGTTTTAATGTGACGGCTCCTCATCTCAGAAAAAGACCTCTTTAATCACCGAATGGGAAAGACTCGTCCTTCATTTCCAGGACTCACCATGAATAACCCAATCTAGGCAAAGGAGATGACATGGGAAAAGAAATTCCACTTTTCGAAATAACAATTAAATCTAAAGTGTAATGCATGGTCTAACGGGTTTTGGAAGCTGGGTTTTAATATGAAGATGCCAGAATGGAGTCGTTTAGGAATCCATGCATTTTTTTAAACATTTTCTGCCATCGAATTTAGCCTGGAAGACAAATGTATCACGCCAAACGAGTGATGAGAGCGCCGACATTCGATAGCAGCCAACATGCGACCGAAATGAGGAAGTGCGATATCTAAGGATGAGGTCCGTCCAGTACATTTTTGCAATGTCCCATGGCTGATTGACAGTCTCTCCACACGCCAGGGAGTCATTCAAAGGTCAGAGCGGAAGTTTATCCTCGTGAGAACATCATCGAGAAGCTGTTAGTTTGAGAGTGTTCATCGGATAGATCGAAGGAGCACAGCGAGTAATCGCGAGAGGAGATGGCATTGGCGGCAGATGATGCGCATTTCCTTGAAGAATCTATGTTAATATTATAATATACTATAATAATGATACATATATACATAGGGTCGAAATCCCTGGCATTCAAAAGTGAAATGCAAGATGCAAGGGGGAAGTAAAGTGAGAAAGGAGAGTCCCTCGATTCAAACGAGGGTGGCCAAAATCACGAAGAAAGGAAAATGTCTGACTGAATGACGAGATGTAATTGCTTTCACAGGTTAAAGGACACAAAATGACGTCGACATGAAGCAGTCTCACCCTTGCGTTTGCATTCGACTTCTTCCGGCGCGAACGTGGTGCACCAGTAATCCCGATTGAGGCAGGAACAGGTGGCCTCGTGCTCCGAGGATCCGTCCGTGAAGGTGGTAGGGCAGGTGAAGATGACCTTCCCACCGGGCGGGGCTGGGTATTCCCCGTCCCAGCCGACGAAGGTCTCCACCGCGTTCGCGATCGTCGGGTACTCCGTCTGGCACGGGACTTTATTCGTCGCGGGAGAGAAAAAACATTCACTGCTTTGGCGTGGCAGGACCTGCGGTTTTCGAGGACGTGAGGCCGACTTCCGTGAAATTTGCTTCATCGCGTGTCAGTACTCTCTTGACGGGTGGTTCAAAATAAACGCACTACCGTTTTCCTTGGAAGAAACGCAGTTCCGTGAAGGCAAAGAAAAGTTTACATTGACCTCGCGATCAACATTGGACGGTTACAACATGTTGAGATGCATGTCAGCTTTTTTTCAGCAGCCCTACCCAAGTCGTGCAACGCCCATTTTCAGGCGAATGAAAGGTGCATAGAAGTGGATCATTCCGCCTAAAGTGAGACGGTGATATGTGCTCAACCGTCTCCGAATTCAATTCAATTCGGCCGTCGGTCGGATTATTCTGAGAATAGCCCGCAGACAAAAACCAAATGGGGGAGAAAAAATGTGGGTTCTCATCACAAAACGGCCCCCGACCCACAGATGCAAAATGCCTGACGACTCGGTTATTACGCCATCATATTTTGATTCGCTGAAATTTTTTCGACAAACAATTGGATGCAGCTGATGCTTGACAAAGTTAATTCATGAGTCTTGGTTTTCTTGATCCGCAAGATGGAGCTGTATACCCATTGTGGGCGCTGTTGCTAATCGGAGGGCGTAAAATCTGCGTGCACTTCATAGAGGATTTTTTAAACCATGCATAAACACAATTTCAAATCTTACATGGCTCTCTCTGCCGAATATCCGTTATATCTGAGATCCCTTTTTAGCAATTTCGTCTTGAAGCCAATTTAAAAAAAGAATATGAATCCGGTCCAATATGGTTTGAGGCCAAAAATCGGGGAAACTTCTCTTGTTGACTTTAGAGATGAGGGGGCAAGGACCATTACTGCATTTGAGGCGTGATGATCCACCTGTACACGTTGTAACGGGAAAAAGCACAGTTCAAAGAAATGTTCTGAGAAAAACCCAGACAATCCTCTCAACAATTCCTTTGTGTCAAGAGTTTATGAATTTTTTGCTCGAATATACGAATCTTCCTTTCTCCCATTGAAAATGGGGTAGCTTTTATTTTGAATCAGCCTATAAATACTTCGCGCTTGCATGAGGAGTTCGGCTAACGCTACAAGGCCCATCGGATTGCATCTGGGTGGTTATATAAGGATTCCAGAATTGTTTTTTTTTTTCAGGATGCCTTACATTTTTTTTAAATATCCTTCTACCCAAATTTTGCCTGGGAGACGGAAGCATCGCGAAGCATGAGTAGTAATGAGAGCATCAACGATCGATAACAACCGATATGCGACCGAAATGAGGAAGTGCGAAGGGGGGGGAGGATGAAGTCCGTCTAGAGATGCGAGATGCATGGAGGAAGTAAAGTGATGAAGGGGGAGTCCCTCGATTTAAATGCCGGTGGACCAAAATCAAGAAAAAAATTTAAATGTCTCGTGAATGACGGGAGGTCATTGCTGTCACAGGTTAAAGGACACAACACGACGTCGATATGAAGCATTCTCACCCCCAGGTTTGCATTCGACGTCCAGATTGAACGTGGTGCACCAGACGTCCGGCTCCGAGCAGGAACAGGTGGCCTCGTGCTCCGAGAATCCGTCTGTGAAGTTGGAAGGGCAGGTGAAGACGACCTTCCCAGCGTGCGGGGCTGGGTATTCCCCGTCCCAGCCGACGAAGGTCTCCACCGCGTTCGCGATCGTCGGGTACTCCGTCTGGCACGTGGCTCGATTCATCGCTGGGGACGTGAGAGAGACCACGTGCATAGGTTTGCAATGCCAATACGTGTGTTTTTCGATGACGTGGGACCGGATTCCTTCGCGATCTACTTCATAAAATTTCAGGCGCTTTCTTGACATAAATAGGGGTAGGTAGGGCAAAACGGGCAGTTCAGGAAAATTGCCAAAACTTAGTACCAAGGAGTTGGCCTAGCACGTTGCGGATTTCGCGGTTTTCCCAGAGTCTTGCGGGTTTCTTACCTATGACAATGATTCAACTTCACCACGAAATCAACGACAGATTTCCCCCCCGAAGATTCTTAAACTTGTTGTCAATTGCAGAGGCAATCTTTTTTGCCCAATGGGTGGGGCAAAATGGGGTCTCTCTCTCGCTCTCTCTTTCAGCCACACAATATAAATGTGAGCAGTAAGGCAGGTTGTCCCATCTTGCAGCAAAAGATATTCAGTTCGTACATATCAAGTATCATTTAAGAAGAAATTTTTCTCGACTGGCGCGATCACCGTACCTCGGTCCACTCGACCCTTACCTGTTGGGAATACGGGAAGAATGGACATGCCAGAGAATTTCTTTCGACGTCTTTTGAGGCTGTTCTACCAAAACAAAATTTTTAGAGTCTCTCTGTAATTTCCTTCCCCTACTTGCCCGCCAGTATGTCGAGATCGGCTGTTGCTAAAAAGGTCCCACGGGTTTGCACATGTGTGGTAATGTGCCGATTTTTATGAATGGGGATATTTAAGAAACCCTACCTTTTTAACATCTGGTATCCGAATTTTGCCTGGACGACTGAAGTATTCCGTCACACAAGTAGTACCTGTAATGAGAGCGTCGACATTCGACAACAACCGCCATGCGACCGAAACGAGGAAGAGAGACGGGCCATGAAGAAGTCCGCCAAGAACTATTCCCACTTTCAAATTTGAGATGCGAAGATGCATGCGGGAAAAGAGCCTCCTTCGATTGAAATGTCGGGGGGAACAAAATAAAAAAAATGAAAATGTCTGACTCGCATAAATGACGAGAGGTCATTGCTGTCAGCAATTTCCACGTTAAAGGACACAACACGACGTCGAAATGAATCATTCTCACACTCAGGATTGCATTGGACGTCCAGCTTGAACGTGGTGCACCAGACGTCCGGCTCCACGCAGGAGCAGATGGCCGCGTGCTTCGCATATCCGTCCGTGAAGCGATAAGGGCAGGTGAAGACGACCACCCCCCCTTCCGCGGCTGGGTATTCCCCGTCCCAGCCCTCGAAGGTCTCCTCCGCCTTCGCGATCTTCGGGTACTCCGTCAGGCACGCGACTAGATTCGTTGCGAGGGGCGGAATAAAGACCATGTCCATGACCTTGGACTCTGGGTTTCGCTGACTTGAGGCCGAATTCCCTCAGGGGCTACTTCATGACTCGTTATTACATTTGTTATACCTAAATATTCAATATAACCATACCTGATATGCCTCTTGCCAATATATTAAAATACCACATGCTCGTTTATCGCGCGCATCGGTCGAAAAGAAACGAAAAAGAAACATCGTCAAAGTTCCCACGCAGACTCATCGTGTCGATCAAGTGATTCGAGTCACTAAATCGGAAATGATTTTCCTTACCAAACGAGGCATGACGCAAAAAAAGCTCGATAAAGTCAGAAGCTGAGGCAGCACGGAAGCAGAGAAAGAAACGCCACTCACATCGAGCATACGAATTGAACCCGTTCGCGGGAATGAGCCTGTTCCCCCCGGGGCGCAACAGCTCGCAGGTGCCGTCCGATTCCCTGTAGTTGAAGCCGTGGCACCGCCCGTCCTGCTTCTTGCATTCGGCCTTGCATTCCGGGAACTCGAAGAACTGCTCCTCCCGCAACACGTTGCCGTATCGTTCTCCCTTGTGCACGTACCAATGCAAATCCACCTCGTACGCCGATGCGATCCAGTGCAGGCTGGCGAACGCAATCAGCATCGACGGGTGGTCCATCGCTCTGTGGCGGCAACTCAATTCAATTAGGCAAATTTGCGTGCAGAAGATGGCATCACTGCTAAAATGGGACCGGTAGCTTGGAAAATAGGATCAAGAAATAAATATCTAGGAAAATAAGGAACATGTGGAACAGGAACAAAACCTGACGTTTCTATTCACGAATCTTCAATCCGCCGATCACCCTTTGACTCTACAAAGCGAAAAGTGTAAGAATATGAGTGCAAACCAACGTTGCATTACAGGGCCCGGCACGCTTCCCTACCGTCTTCGAGGCAGACGAATTCGTAATTCCAACTTCTTCAAACTAGAATAAGGGCCTATTCTTCTAGTCGTCGAAAACAGCAACTTAAGTGCGGCAATTTAGGAGAAGAGAGAGATTTTTTTTAAATCCTTTGGGAATAATCATTTGCAATCGCAAGGACACCCTGCTTTTTCACTCGAGTAAAAGGGTCGCGACTGGGGTGGCCTTCGGTTCCGCGGGTGGGCGCCTTCGCATGATCTGCATCCATCGAATCCGGATCCGCCACGCCCACGGGTCGATGGAGGACCACGCCGAAGCAGCGAATCGATTCAGTTGTTTTCGAGAGAGAAAAATGGGCTCGTTGCGTTTACTCTCATTCTGTGCGGTTCAGCCGGGGTTACCAGGAAACTGGGTGTAAACCTCAGAAACTTCTGGGATGCGAGTCTGGCACGCAGCAGCGATCGGATTCCGTGACGTCGCCGACGAATGTGAACGTCACGATCTCCGCAATACGACGAATGGATTCTCACTTCAATCAGATGCCAATCGTAACGGTGACAACGTGACCAACAAGGAACAGTCGGCCAGAAGCGACGGTTTGATGCCGAAAAAAAACATTTAACATCGGAAATACGCAATTTTGTTCTTCTTCGGCATCGTTCCGAATCTTCTTTGAGTTCTCCTTTGCAGCATCTGCCATTCTTTGATAGGAACCAACATTTCTTCAGGTGTTTCACACGACAGTACGACGGCAGACGGGGACCGGTCGGGAGTAACGAGTGGATTAAATCACTCATCCAAGTCCCAAGATGTGGGCTATAACTAAAACTTAAATTGTTTTCCGGGCTAAAACTACAGTGGAATTGAGTTTTTATGACCAGTGTGTTTTTATCGTTTCAAAATTCATCTCAAGATTTTCTTCTTTTTTTTTTCTCTGCATTCTTTTTCATCTGCCTCGGTTCTCCCTCCTTCACCTCGAAAACGTTTACGAAAAATTCTGCCAAAACAAGACTTCTTCTGCAATAGACTGTGGTATCAATTTTGGGGAGTTTTGGCCCATCCATCATGGCCCATGCATCATGCACCTGTCTCTCCATCATTCTCCCACTTACATCTTGAACTCTTGACTCACCTCATGATGAGCAGCATCCAACCCGACGTTTCTTCTTCGCAAATCTCTCTTTCTTCCCTATTATCCCTCCGTCAATCGACCTATGACTAAATAAACGCAAAAGAGACTGAATAACCGTGCAAACCAAAATTGCATTCCGTTCCGCGACGCGCTGCATTCATAATGCCTCATAACCAAGCTTTTTTGAGGCTAGGAAGAAAAGGAAAGCGACACCCTCTCCGCTTTCCTCAGCTCTTCGGAGACTTTTGTAACCTCTGAAACATCATTAATGATATGAATGTCTTGCTTTCCACTTTGCTATTCAAAGTTGAACAAAATCCATGCAAAAATTTCTCCAATCCCAACTATTTCAAAACGAGAATGACGACTTCGACGCATAGGTTCCAACACAGCAACGCAAGCGCTGCAATGCAGGAAAAGTAACAGATTTCTGATGTGAATTAGGGAAAAAAATCGTTTTCAAGTTGTCATTTGCAACTGCGACGACACCGTGCTTCACTCGAGTAAAAGGGTCGCGACTGGGGTGGCCTTCGGTTCCGCGGGTGGGCGCCGTCGTCCGATCCGCATCCAACCAATCCGGATCCGCCACGGCCACGGGTCGATGGAGGACCGCACCGAAGCAGCGTGTCGATTCCGTTGTTTTCAGAGGATCGAGAGTGAAAAATGAGTTTGTCGCGATTCTTCTCTTTCTTCGTGTGCGGTTCGACCGGGGTTGCCAGGAAACCGAGGGTGAACCGCGAGAACCTCTGAAATGCGATATCGCCACACGATAACGATCGGATTTCGTGACGTCAATGAGGAAAGCAAATGTCGCGATCTCCGCAGCCAGAAAAATGAACTCTCGCATCGACCCGATCCCAGTCACAACGGTGAGAACCGAACCAACAAGAGACGATCCACCAAAAGCGATGTATTCCGCGCGAGAAGTCCCGAGCTGCCATATGAAGGACCACTTCCTCGGCATCGTCTTGAAAACCGTATGGCATCTTAAATAGAATTATCGGCGTCGGATCTCAGACGAATGAACCGCACACCGCCAAAAAGGCTGCAGATGAAATCGGTCTGCAATGGTAATATACAGCAAAATTAAAATTAAAATACCGGAGACGGGCACCATTCGGCCAATAACGCAAAGTTGTTAGCCGGATCGAGATGAACGGTGAAATGCATGGGGATTAACATCAACAAAATTTTAAATCTTTAATTGGCAATTTTATATTTTTCCAATGAGATCCAACGTTTTCCCTCAACTTATACGACCCATGAAGTCGAGCAAACGCGCCACTGGGATGCTTGCATTGGTTGCGCAAACTTCACACCTTGCGGATTGAAGTTTTTTTTGCATGTTGGCCCCAGGGAGCATCTGGAGCCAGACTGCGCAGCGGGGAGGGGGCAAGTCCGAGACGACCTCGAACACGACCACCTGTTCCAAGACGCAGCCGCCGAAAAAGTGAGAGCCAGGCGCTAGGATCACATTCCGCCACTGTCGTTCTTCACGAAGTTGTTCGAAGTTGTTCGCTACATTCTGCTACTCATTATTCACTTTAATTTTTTTTTTTGGGAAAATGACCTCTCATCTCATCCCTTCACCTTGGATGCGAAATATGCGTGTGCACGCGGACATCGAATCGCGAGTGAACCACGTCCCGTCATTCCAGATCCGATGAGATGCGCAATTTCCCTCAAACAGTCTGGCCGGATTCAAAGAGCATCGCATTCAATATTGAAAGCTTGCAAGTCGAGGCGATTCCATGGCCCCGGCCCAAGCAGCACGTTTATGTTAACAAAATATCAATTCTTTGCAAACAGTGCAAATTTCTTGTGATTGCCATGAAAATGACATCACGCTTACGTAAAATTTACGTTCCAGGGAGACTGATAATGTTTTTCTTAACAGCTGCCACCTGTCAATCCCAAGTAGCTCACGGGGCACCTGATAGGTACCAAAAAAACTTATATAAATGCTATTACTAAATGGATCATCTTTAAAAGTGGGTATAAAATAGCCCCAACGTGTTTTCATTCTTTAAAAGTTAAACGAATAGGTCTCATCTTTTTCTAGACTGCTAATGCAACTGTCCTAACTAATAAGTAATCTGTAAAACAGATTTTGGAGCCAGACTGCAAAAACAGTTGAGGAACTAGGGGGACGGGAATGAACCGGAATTCCCTGGAGTTCCTTCTCGTTCGCGGATGAGAATGAGTCTGTTTCATTCTTTTATTCATCGCATCGATGCGGTGAAAACTCGACGCGACGGTAGCGCATGCTGTTCTGTTTTTGCAAGACATAACCTGACGGACATACGTTCTCGTTCCCTTCATTCGGCTACTCGTCCCCAGTTCTTCCCATTTCCAGATCGGGGATCCTTGGGGAGAAAAAAAAAATAGACTTCAGAAGGGACATTTAAATCGAATTAGATTGTTTTGCTCGGATGTTTTTCTCGAGCTATTGTCGCTCCAGGGAAAAAAAAAAAGCCTATGAATCAAATTAAATTTGGTGCTGGAGAAGTCCTCGGTACACAGAGTTCCAGCCAGCTTCACAGCTGGCTTTCGCCGAGGAAGGGTCAACCGTAGAACAGCTAACACGGCTGGCACACAGAGTGCTACACACCACGCACAAAGGAATGCATGTCCTAGCCCTTTTTTTCCACGTCACCAAGGCGTTCGACAAGGTTTGGCATCAGGGCCTGCTCTACAAGCTCCATCATCAACTCTTCCTACCGGCTCCAGTCCTCAGGTGGATACAATCCTATCTTACTGGTCGCACATTCCAGGTTCGAGTCAACAACCAGCTGTCTAATTCTTACACCACTACAGCTGGAGTACCACAAGGATCAGTCTTGGCACCGCTGCTTTTTCTTGCGTTTTTCAACGACTTACCTCGACACACCATCATATGCACATGTCAGCCAATATGCAGATGATACAGCCATATGGCTCACGAGAAGAAATGAAGTCAAGCTAGAAAAGGACGCCCAACTTGTCCTCGATGCTCTTTCATCCTACTGTAAGGATTGGAGGATTTCCATGAATCCTTCCAAATCCTCATACCTTTATGTGCCTAGAAGCCTATCCCGAGACACCTACAACTTTAGGCTTTGGATGAATGGGAACCTCATCCCCGCTGCTTCCACCTGCGGATTTCTAGGTATCACTTTCCACAAACTCATCCGTTGGTCCCCCCACGTGCAGATGCTACGTTAAAAGGCAGTTTGTAAATTGAATTGCCTGAAGTTGCTCTCGCGTGTCGCTTTGAATTGAATTGAATTGAATTGCTTTTTTTATTTCCATGGATTCTGGTCGTCAGACATCTCGCAAAAATTACAGCCCAAGATAATACAACAAAAGCAGAGAAAAGACTATGTACTAGGTCAATGATTAAAAGGCTCTTTCGGACAGAAATATATATAAAAAAGATTTTTGAAACTTTGATGTATTAGCTTTGGGATGGCGAATACCATTTCTGGTAACGGGACCGCTCCGTTGTCTAATGGCTTTTTGTATGTCTGGTCTCAAAGGATGATCTTCACTCCTTGAAATGCGCATGGCCAGGGCAGTACCTAGAGAATTTACCTTCTCGACAAAATTGGTAACATAGACCTTGCTGTTCATGTTGGATACAGCGGCAAGCCTGCGCAGCAATTTCAAAAGTAAGCGTTTGCTTTCCTCGGTCAGATATCCAGCATAGATTGGTAGGGCATATAATAAACAAGACAAGATGCAGTATTCCACGAAGTCCACTACTGCTTGATTGGAGTTACGAACATTCCTGAGAAGACGAACCGCGAACACTGATCTCGAGAAGCATTTCTTGTAGACGTCTTCGACTTGGTTCTTAAAAGTCAGGC